TACACCGCTTTTCATGGTACTGTCACATTGAAAAGTTTTATAATAACCGTCGTATGAACAGCTTTGTGGATGTTTTTAAATTTTAAATTTCACCATTTTTATATTAAAATGTTGTAATAAGAAAAAACTATAATCTTTGCTTAAAATTTTTTGGAAAATTTACCCGAAAAGTAAAATGATCTAAACAAAATAGCGAAATAATTCTCATCAATGTTATGAAAGCTTCATTTCAGCCTCAAAGAGAGGTTCGGATTTGAATTGGAATTAATTTTTCCATTATCATTAAATCCGATCACAATTGAGTGCATTACAGAAAATGTTATACCGTGAAAAAAACAAGAGTATACGTTATCTGTAGGAACAATAACGTTTGTCAATAATTCATTGTGTAACTTGAACTTAGTAGGTGAAATGCAATGACAGCAAATGTTACATTTAAGCTATTACATGAGATGATGTATGAAAATGCATCTATTATTTTCTTATCAATGACTGCATTTTACAGGACATTAGAAACGCATTTCAAACAAAAATCACAGTCCTAAACAATTACTGAAAGGAAAACAATTTTTTAACTATATCTTACATTGTTTCTTCTGTACTTGTAAATGAAAAGGTAGAATTCGGCAGCATCCCCATATCAGACAGATGGGGCGTTGTTTTATCAAAATTGCGAACAGTTTTCTTCTACATGAAGCAATGTTGGAACCCTATGGTAGAAGAATTCATGGACCCCAATGTTTGACACTGCTCTTGAGCAGTTCGGATATATAGATTATGGAACAAATTTCAACTTTCTCAAGTGGCTAAATAAGTTGCGCAATTGTGAGAGACCTTGAGCAATATTTTAAAAATGTCTATACAATATGTAAAATGAAAACAAATGTTTTTCTAATTGCTTTCGACATTAAGCCTTCTTCAGACTATTATTGATATTAGTGTAAATATAAATAACAAATGACGTAACATTCGTTTACAGAACGTGACGCCAATGTGGAAGTGTTTGTGTGGTTGCTGTTGTTGGATTAACTTTTTTCTAATAAAACATTTTGTTTTCAATTAATATATATATACATTAGCGCACGAGTATATAAGCGCATACATATAATATAAAATGTATATAAATTGTTCAAAACTTTGCATTCATACAATAGAAGTACATGTGTTTAGCTGATAAATACAATACGACAAACGTTCCATATTATCAGATGCATGAAATTAAAATTGTTAGTGACATTTGTGGAAAACAAAGGGAAATATATCAATTCGGGCGTTATTATCTATGCAAATAAATGGTAACTCAAGATTATAAGAAAACATCAAATGTTTACTCGGTCAGACAGTGAATATAGCTATTACACGCTTCACTTAGTCTGCAGCCTGAGATCGACGGGAATGTCATGTAATCGGTGTGACTTAACGAGTTGATAACTTTGTGATTGGCAGCTTCACACAACACATCGTCTGAGATAAAGTGTTAACGTAAACAAAATATTCATTCAGTACATCTTACAAGAAGTGTAGTTGTCAAAGTATTATATTTGTCACACTGGTATTTTATAAATGTACTTGTTTGTCTCTTTCGACTCCTTATATCTGTCAGACATAAGATGAACTGGTCTGGTTAATACAACATTTAAATATTCACTTTCCTTATACAAAAGTGCAAGATAGTATGAGAGATAAAAAGATTTAGTTCAGTTTTATGTAATATTTTACAGAAATAACATGGTGAAATATATCCAATACATGATAAAACAATAAAACAATATGACATTTAATAGAAATGAGACCAAATCAAAGACATTAGGATAACACAAGAAAGAGAACTTAATTTCTTATTTCCATTGTGGTTTTCAGAAACTGATAGTTTTGACAAAGAAAGCCATACAAACGAATATTACAGTTTCAATTAAAGAAAGACAAAAGTAAAGTATTACATAAAACATGCATTCAAATTTATATAATAAAATAAATAATAAGAGGATATTTAAAGGAAAGCTTAAATACGTACTGGGCGAAATCTTATGTTAACACAATTATTTGTTGTTGTTTTTTTATTTCTTTGTTTTGATTGTTGTTGTTTTTGTTGGGTTCTTTTTTGTATTTTTTTCCAAAAATACTTCATAAAGAATATTTCACTTAATCATAATACCACATAATATATATTACATCTTTTCCGAAAGAAAGAAATCATTATTGTGGTGAAATGTATGTCATCAGTTCAATGTTAATATGTTCAAAATTGTATTATACCCATGAGAAATGTTGTTTTCTACTACAAGCACAAAGACGTTAGGGAAATGCTAACACGAAGAAAACACGCATTAGTGAAGAAATATAAAAAAATTAATGAGACAATATATTCTAAAAATATTTCTAAATTATGAGTTTTGGCATACCCTTTGGGTACCCATTTATTTGACAAAGTTATTTACTTGCTATAAAGTACTCGCATATGCACGTGAAATCATAACTGTAGTAGCAAACAAATGTTTTTAGTGCTTAGAATAAAATGATATAAAGGAACTTATTGTTAGTTGTTGTTTATAGGATGGGTGTGTACTCTTTGTACTGTTACAACCTATTTTGTTATCTTACTAAAATCTGAAAACAGAGAAAAGTTTCTGTCATTGATAAGCGTGCGATATGTATTCCATCCATGTATAATATTATCTTACACATTGATAAGAGTGCAATATGTATTTCACATTTATCACACACATTTATTAGTTTCTCTTATAAATAAATAAGCACACAATCTGGCGCTTTTGTGTTTGATATGTTACCATTTTTGAAATAAATATTTCTGTAAATTATTAGAATATGATGCATTATACCAGATGTAACTTTTTAATCAAGTAATATATATTTATATATATTACAATGTATATAGCAATGCCACACTAAGAGGCATGTATCTTTAGTGGTTATTTATGATTATTGTTGTAAATATGTGCTTGATTTTCGTCATGCCTAAAATTATACCAAACAAATCTAGATAATTAATAGATGCGTCTGTAAGCGGCATTATCTAAGTAAATGAATTCAAACAATCTTTCCTTGTAAAATACATCAATTATACTTAGACGGTTACTTTTCCAGGAAATTAGAAAGAGACTTTAGGCTTAATCAATATATTTCAGATACTTCAGAAATTTATATTGAGATTAAAAGGTTACACAAAATATTTCCCAAAATAAGCAAGCGATACCGTACACAGCATCACGATTGGACCATTTTAACTCATATTTCTGGCGCCGGATTAAGGTTGTATTTTAGAACATTAAGATAAGATAATAATAAACTGATGGTTATAAAGATGTTTTATTAGAATAGAAACATTTTTGATATTCACCTGTTTCATGTGTGTGTGTGTTGAATTCCTTTATGGTTGACATAAATATTTGGCATGCAATGCAACTGAACAGAGGAGCTTATCCTACCAACATGTCATTGCAAAGTCACTCTGACAAGAGCTAGTCTCTTAAGTGCATAGTTCTATTACTTAAGACACAATATAAAACTACCTCTGTTTTCACTTACATCGATTACCAGTCCTGCGGATAAAACTTATAGAATTACGGTCTAATAGAGACCCTGTAGGCACCAAATATTATGATTGTCTTGCCTTTTATTTGCAAACTTTTAAGATACGAGCTTTTAAACTTAAGTTTACGGTACCTAAATGAATTTGATTTTGTAAATTTAATAAAGCTATAAATGTTATTTTGAATAGTTTTCTTTAAGATATAAATTGATATTTAACATGTGTCTTTATTTTCAATGAAGTAATTTGAGTATTCAAACGTGAAGCATTATCCTTAGAGAGACATTTAATACATATTGAATATTGTATTTTGCGTAAAACTTTGTAAATGAGTCATTTGAATATGACATAAAATGAGGAGTTCCTACGAAAAATACTACCACTAGCTATCCACTAGCTATCAGTTTAAATTTTAAGTTGATTTTTATTATAATTATTATAACTATTGTACTGTTTTACTTTAATATTCGGGTAGATATTTAATAATCATGCTATCGGCTAATAAGGAGTAAAATTTATTATTGAATATATCTTTCTTTGACTTCAGTGTCATTGAAATCAAAATTGATAATTAATTTGTACATAAAAATATCTTATGGTTTTTTTTGGGGGCTTTTTTTCCTTAAACCATGTTTGTACATGTAATGATATCAAAATAAATCCATCTGCATATCTATCGTAAGTAGTGTTATATGATATGAGCTAACGTCGGATTCTAGATACAATAGACAGAAATCTAGTTGTCTTCTTAAAACAATCTTGGTCAAAAACGCTATTAGTAAATCAAGTTAGCCATATTAGATTCAGAAAGATGACATTTATGTAATTAGGTAATTGAATTTTCACGAATAAGAAATCGGTCCTCTTATGGTTTGAAGTAGTGAATCGGAGAAAAAGATATGGTATCGAACATAAAACACTTTCTTGCTTATTTATTAGTAAATATAATTTTCTGAATAATGCGTTTGTAAAAACATTTGTAATGGTTAATTTTATCGGAAATTGGTGTGCTTAATGTTTCATGCAAATATATGATGTCAAGGATTATTAATTGAGGCAGTGATGTGAGATATCTAAATAAATAATTTCGTCAATGCATTTTTCCATCAGAGAAAAAAGATCTATACAGATTACAAAATATAGGTCGACGGGAGGTAACTGTCGTTTCTGCGCAAAAATATCTTTGTCATAGGTTACTTCCTTTAACCTGATTTAGGAAAGCAATTATACATTTATTGCATAACAAAAAAAATTCATAAACGGTTATTCCCCTTCGAGGGAATTTAATTGAAATATAAAAAAAATATGTCAACTTTTTTTACGAAGAGAAAAAAATTAGCACTTGAATGCACATACTTTCAAGGTTTAGTACATTTTTATGAAAATTTAGTCCTGTTTGTATTTATCAATTTCAAATATGTTATGGACGTTAAAACACAATGAAAGAACCTCATTTTGTATATTTATTATTCATCCGATAAAGTTATGTAATTTATGTTCACAGGTTAAATTTTGCGACGATAAATGTAGTCTAACCAACTATTGGTGTGGCAGTATTCCTAAAACAAATATAAAAGAACTTCATTATACTGTAACATAGAAAATATAAAGCAATGTATCGATACAAATAAGACATATGTTATAATTTTAACCTGAAAGTATATATCTATAAAGGATTTATCTACCTAAGTGATCTTATGCTTTAAATATTAGACTCAAAGGAAACAAAGATATTAACATTTATTTATAAAAGCACATATTGTTAGGTAATGTATTTCTCCTGTTTAGATTGAAAGGCAGATATGACTTTAGTTAACATTGTGTCGAAACGTTTTCTGAAATTACTGTCTGTCTTTTTGAAGTAATTAATTAATTAACTAATAAAGGAAATCATTTTAGAGCATTGAAACCAATAAAATATGAAACATCAGACATGGCTTTGTTATGTATGTTTATAAGAGATATTGTAAAATGCAGTAACTGTATATATTGTAAGTCATACTCACTTTTTCTCACATACATATTGCACATCCCAAAAACAATTCTCGTCATTCCAACTATAATCAAAATATTTTATTGCTGCTAAGCATAGTTCTGTGTTGTTTACGTTGTTTGGTTGTTGAGGTGAAGTACCCCATGGCGCATACGTTAATGGCTTATTTGTTGGTTCCCATATCCAATTTCCATCATTGTTAAAATTGGCTCCGCCAAGCCAGAAACCACTATTGCCACCGGTGTCTAAGATAGATAAAGTATTGGATTGTTTAAATAATAATTAGTTCATGGTATAATCTATTCCTTACAATGCTCTATTGTATTTAAGAAAAAAATAATTATATTACGTGAAAGATTAAGTAAATATTTATTTGAGTAAAAAAAGAGTGAACAAAACTGTACTAATTTTTGCAACATATTTCTTTTTAATAATTTCCCAGGCATATGTTATCTTGTTATGTATTAATTGCAACAATTCATGCAGTTTTATCACAAATAAACTAAAGCTTAGAAATATTTATCTACTAACGATTAAATGTTAATGCTTGTTTACGAAACCATGTTTGTTCCTCGGGCGTCTCTATGACAATAAGATCACTGTTATGCCACAGACACATTTGCTGAAATGTATTTTTAATAGAATCATGCTTATTGTTATAAACAGTTTATCTAAAAACTGCATTTTACGAGTATACTTTAAATTTGGAATATTATGTTGAACAAAACTTGTTTAGTCTATATTACCTATTACAAAAATACAAAATAACTTGAAATATAAAAGGCAGATATTTAGTTTTGTTCTATATTATGAAGTTATATTTTTATTTATACATAATGTGGCAGTATATAACCGACTTGTTGATATATTTAAAAGATTAAACCGTTTTCAACTTGTCATATAACATGTTTGTCTGAAATCTTAAAAACTAATTAATATTACGGCATGTTCATGCATGTCTTCAAATATATTCTTTTTAAACACTTCCCTAATTAAAGACAGTTTCAAATAAGTCACTTATGTTAACATATAATACAGAAAAACTAGAGTTACCCTTGCTTCAGCCCATGTTTGTATATCTGTTGTAAATCGGTAGCAATTGCCACCAAAATGTCTCCAACCACTTTCACATGCACTATACACTGTAAGAAGGTGATTAAATAAATAAAATATAACTGAACAAACTCTTCATCTTACCTATCCAAAGTTAATAAGCAATTATAATCTTTAATGTGGATTAAAGGAAGACATTTTAGCGAGTAATATATATATTGAAAATTATACAAAAACCAAGAGCTGGTGATATATGCAATTATAGAAACATTAAAGAAATGTGTATAATAAATTGAGGATCTTTAACATCCTTTTTATAACATGTTGTTGAACATTTCACCATGCCAGTATTTTAACCAACATACATATGTGTAGGTATGTTTAATTATTTATTTCTCCCTGCTTTGTACAAAAGGTTAAATTCCAGATCATGCTCTCATATTTTATATGAATGTTTCAACTTACAAAATTTTGATTTTATATTCAATTAACTATTTATGATCACATTTTATAAATATATTACTTAAGTGTTTAAAATGACTTACCGGTACCAAGAACGACTGAGGCAACGATAAGAGTCTGGATATTCGACATGCTTTAGTTATGTTTACAATATCATAATTTCCTTTGTAATCAACTGCTTATTTATACAACTGCCATGCACTGAAATATGTTCTAAAATTTAAACATCTGATCAGTTATCTGCTGTATATAGCAAACGGCATCATATGCAAACCAAATATGTCACATTTCATGCTTAAGATGGTTTACACGGGGGCAGAAAAGTAGGTTGTTAGATAGTAACATATCGTCGCCTGAAAAACGTTTTCTTCTATTTTAATATTTGTTTTGCATAAAAATACAAAAAAACGTTTGGAGATAGAACAGTCCTTGTAACTTTTTTTTTTTAAATTTGTCAAGATTACTATTATTGTGGGGCTCTCAATTATTTATCTCTTAATTAAAAGCCTTCGACCACCTGTATGTCATGGACCATAAGCATCAGACTATGACATTCAAAATCATATTCAAGTCTTAAGGTCCAGCACATTAACAAATAGTTTTAAAACAAAAAAGTAAAAAAAAATACATACGCAAAATCTTTTAGGGATTTTAATTAATTCAATTTTTGAAACTTGTAACTTGCAACATAAAGTGACAAAAAAAGTGTAACTCTCCTTATGTCTTGTGCAATAATCTTAAATCATTGATCTGATGTAAGCCAATATCTACATAATGTCTACAGATATATTGAAATCATTCTTAAAAACTTGCATAAACTATAATAATTACACATAGTTAAATCTATCTTTTTTTTAAGCAATGCTAAACAATATATAACACTGAACACTTAAACTTAAATTTTACTTGAAGTTAAACATCTGTAACTTTTAACATGAACACAATGACATTATATAATTGTATGCACATGATTGCTTTATTCTAAACAATAATATCAATACTTAACTTCAAACAAAACAGTGCATTTGTTAAACTTAAATTTTGGCGTTTGTGGCCAAAGTATGTATCAAACTAATTTGTGTCTTCACTGTTGATACTGTTCTAATGGCATAAAACAGGAAACCTGTTTTATCCAATACATATTCTCAGTTTCATTTAGAGGTTAATACTTGGTTGCTGCTAGCCATTATGCGATAATGGCCCGAAGATGTGCATATGTCCGAAATACGGCGTTTAGATATGGAAAGCCATTGCTGTCTGATATTATTTAGACATCGTCGCTAATCTTGGTTGGAAACGGACAGTTGTCAATGTAAACAATTCTGGTATACAGTACAGTTTAACACTCCGATTAACTTGAAGAACAAGACAACACAAAATAAATATAAGAACATGTTGTTTTATTGTTGTTTTTATCAATGAATACGCTTTACTTTTTTTTGAGAATTGCATTTAGATATAGTGCCAGTTTTTATGACGTTTTGTGCCTTCAACTTCAAGAACGGTTTCTTATGTCAAGGTCTAGTAAATGCGAACGGTCCCACCTTTTCCTACTGTCAATCTATAATCATTTTTGGAATTTTTGAGGGTGATGTATTGTCTTAAGTTTATAAATCTTCAATGTTAAGCTTTGCTGATTGTGATCGATTAATTGATTAAAATAAAATTGGTAAGTGACTATTGTTTATTCAACGTCAGCAGCCATCTTGAAAGTCACTGAGAGTTGATTAAGTCATTTTGCACGCGCGCTCATTCACTCGACCATTATGGAAAAATAATGCCGAGTAGCAAGGCGGCCAAAATTGCATAATGACCTAGATCTTGCCATAATGGCCCTGAAATACCCTAGATTTTGTTACTATATATAGTAACATAGGTATCAATTATTTGTACATGCTTTCATTTTTTTGCTTTCACTACTAGAAGCAGTTGATTCTGGAAACAGTCATTATCGTCTGCATGTTCCTATTTTACAAAGGTTTTCTAAATAGGCTCTATCTGTGTTAGGAAGAAACTTAAGCATGGATTCAATATCTTTTAACTTATCATCATGGTTTGGTTTTCAGATAATGAATGAAAGGTGTTCTGACAATTCGAATCGTCTTCCCTGATCTTGTTTGACGAAAAAGATAAACTATGTCGAACTGGTGTCCAGTAAAGATTAATCTGTATTGCACATGCATGGGTAATTCAGATGTTAGCTTCATGCATTTTACTCTTGTAAATGGTACGCTACTGTATTTGAAACAAATTGAAGAAGTCTGGAAATCACGTAAATCTTGTGATGATAACTGAATAATTTTCATGAAAGCAGGCCTGACCTTTTTGAGTTCATTTACTACACTTAATGGGCTACATTATCTGCACACATCTAAAGTGTTTCTCAATGTGCACATTATCCTGACTTCACTATGACAGAATAATAAATTTCTTAACGCAAACGTCATAACTGAATTTCTGTTCTGTGGTACATAAGAATCCGACCACAATATAAAACATTGAATACCAGGATGTTGCTTCAAAACATCTTCCAAAAATAAGATCAATTCTCAAGCAATTTCTTTTGCGCCTCTACCAGCTATACATTCATTCCAGATAACATTATATGCAATCTTACCTATGGAACAATGCGCTGTAAGATTGAAGACATTTAACTTTTTCTTAAAAAAAAGTCAGACACATTAGCCCTTGGACAAGTGATGATATTTTGCATATCAAAAGATATTACAGCTTCATTGCCTCAACGTCCTTTTGTCTCTTTCTTCTTTAGTTGCTTAACTTTTCAGTCACATGATTCTCGTATGTATGAGCAAATTCATCGGAAAACAGCGATAAGTTAGCACTTTGTGTTTGAATATCAAACTGTTGACATTAAATCACATCGATCCTTTTTCGGTTGAAAAAACTCCAATATTGAACTCAGTTGTTAAAAATCAGTTCTATTAGTGATGAATAGGCCTAGAATCCAGTTGCATTTTAAACACTCTTTCTACATATAAATAATACATTTGTGTTAAAGATAAACCACATTCTAAATAGCTTTTACTTATTGTAGCGCGACAGTAATGTGATGGTATTGTCGTAAAAGAATTTATGTGATTTCTTATAAAATCTTCGTCAGCTACTCAAATTTTCTTTTTCGTGCCATTACCCCTACAATCTTCATAACTTCTGTTTTCATCAGATTTTCTATGAAACCATTCTATTCGCCTCTGGCTGAAAACTAATGTTTGTAAGTAATAACTTTTACACACTTTACTTAAGAAAGTAATAAATGTATGTAAATTGTCTCCTGGACTGCTCAGAATTCGTTCTTTGACGAGATTTTAACACTTTTGATGTTGTTTGTGCATAAAAACATTTTTGTCAAAATCATTAAGAGACCAAAAATAGACAAATATTTTTTGGGGTTTCCCTTGAAAGCTTCTGAGAACAGTGATATTTACAACCAGAACAGTCTTTCTTTATCCGTTATTCTCTAGCTCTTTGCAATTACCAGTAACTTCCATGTATTCTTCGCCAGATTGCCTTCTTCTTTTTCTGATGTTTTGTTTCCACAATTTTGGATTTTTCAACTTTTTGCGACCCTGTCTGACATTGTTATTATTCTCGTTATTGTGATCACTGTTTCAAATTTCTTTATTGTTTACACTGTTTACGTTTTGACTTTCAATATCCGTTTTATTTATCTGCATGGCATTTCCATTGATCTTTTCTGCTTCGCTAATGATATCATTATTTAGTTGGCCGTTATAATCTTGTAATGTACAATCCAGATTTGGTGATCTTTCAATAAAATAGAGAGAAATAAGAATCCCTTAAGAAAGCCCAACACGGCACAATTGAAAATGTTGCAGGCTCGGTTTGATTGAGCCTGTTAATGGACGGTACTGTCAAGTGCAAAATTACTGTCCACGCCCCCTAGCACCGGCTTAAGCAGAATTCAACACGTAACATGAACTGGTAAAATTTAGAATTTTGAAACAACCGCAGATATGTTCATATCGCGGTTATCATGGAACCTCCAATGTGACACATAAGTGCCATTCCATGAAAAGCGGCATATGGTCCCCAAGTAAAAAAAAATGCGTGTGCCCTTAACGAGAAAACAATGGGCGCAACTAAATAAAATGGAATTTTGAAAGGGGATCAGAGGTTATGAAGCCTGCATATCACAGATACAACGTCAAAAGGACAAATTTAAAAAGCAGGCCACATATCCTAAGGGTGATTCAACAGTATTCAAGTGAGGAATACTGGAAACACCCAACAAGAAAGATGTCAAATAGAAAGAACAAAAACAAATCACCAGCACAACAATAATGTCGTGCTGAACGATCTTTAGGGATCGGAAATATAACATCCCGGATTGAATGTACGGGGCGACTTTTAACAGCCTCCACACAGCACAAACAACGCTGATGTGGCGATAAAATAGAGAGAAATGAGAATCCCTAAAGAAAGCCCAACACGGCACAATTGAAAATGTTGCAGGCTCGGTTTTATTGAGCCTGTTCATGGACCGTACTGGCAAGTGCAAAATTACTGCCCACGCCCCCTAGCACCGGCTTAAGCAGAATTTAACATGAACTGTTAAAATTTAGAATTTTGAAACATTCGCAGATGTGTTCATATGGCGGTTATCATGGAACCTTCAATGTGACACATAAGTGCCATTCCATGAAAAGCGGCATGTGGTCCCCAAGTAAAAAAATGCGTGTGCCCTAAACGAGAAAACAATGGGCGCAACTAAATAAAATGGAATTTTGAAAGGGGATCAGAGGTTTTGAAGCATGCGTATCACAGATACAACGTCAAAAGGACAAATTTAAAAAGCAGGCCACATATCCTAAGGGTGATTCAACAGTATTCAAGTCAGGATTACTGGAAACACCCAACAAGAAAGATGTCGAATAGAAAGAACAAAAAAACACAAACACAACAATAATGTCGTGCTGAACGATCTTTAAGCTCATGATTGTTTGAATAATTATCATTTGTATCTAAATTGCTAAAATTGTTTTCATCGTAAACATGCTGGTCCAAAATGTAAATTTCAATTAGCACATTTTCTTCAACATTTTCAATGTCTTGCTGTGCGACATTTTCTGATTCAGTGTCCAAATTCGTACAGTTCATAGAATTTTCAGTGTTAACTAGATGTTTAACTTTGTTAGAGTCAGTATTTTGATTTTCGTCAGAATTTACATTTTCATCAGCTCTACCCAAAAAACTGTTAAATT